GAACAGCTGGGTCCAGTGCCTGATGCACAGAAGGCAGAGGAGAGGAGAGCAGTGGAAATCTATGGGCCAGTCCTTGGGACAGAACAGCCTCACTGCTAGTGGAGACCCACCCTAACTCTGGAGATAAAAGGCAGGGGAAAGAGAGGAATAGATGTGGCAGACAACTATTCATCTCCTGTCTGGACAGACATGTTAGTCTGCCGTGAGAGAGAAACTTTTTCTCAGGGCTGCTGGCGCTCCTAATAAAGAAATCTTCAGAGGGTTTGTATGTTTGGGAGGTCAGAACAGTTGACTTGATGGATCTTGATGGTTCCTACCTTGCCTAGAGTCTCAACTCATTTTTAAAAGCAACACCTTTGTTTTTGGATCAAGGGCAACTTATCTCGGAACAATTCAACGCTGTATCAATCATTCAGTTACTTTCATACTTGGTGACCACACTTTCATCAAAATACTCCTGTTATTTCCGGATTGACTTTTATTTTATGATTGTTGCCCACTCTTCCACCCAAATTAAATTTAACTTTTGCATTTGTTGAATTGTCCCACACGCAAGAGTTGCCCTGTTCTGTCTTTCTTTGCCAGTTGTTCATTCTGAGCAATGCTACCCTGTTTCCCCCCAAAATAAAACCTTCCCGGATAATAAGTCCAATTGGCCTTTTGAGCGCATGTGCTAAAATAACCCCTCCCCAAAAAATATTGCAACACAACAGCCGCCAAGAGGTGGCCACCCTCGCTGCCTCCTGCACCCTAAAAATAATAAGACCTCCCCAAAAATAAGGTCAAGTGCTTATTTCAGGGGGTCCAAAGAAAATAAGACCTGGTCTTATTTTCAGGGAAACGTGGTATTGGTTTGTTGGGCCGTAAGATTCTCCTTGAAGTGAGTCTCATGCCGCCATGAGTGGAGTCTTAAGGGAAAAGAATTAAAAACTGCAGAGAATTCAGAGCAGGCCTGCCTGCCAAATTTAAGACCCATTGGTCTTAAAGAGGACGCTGCCCACTTGGGCTCCTCCTTCTGTTCCTAACCATCTTCTCCTTTTCCCAGCAGGGATAATTGACCTGTCTCAAGTTCCACACCTCCCTGTGCTCGTGCCCCCCACCCCAGGGACCTCCGCAGCCTCCATGGACCGCCTCACCTACATGCATGGCGCTGCCCAGCCTTTCAGCAGCCGACACAGTAGCTCGCCGCTTTCACCAGGTGAGTCGGGAGGGGACCTAGAGCCCGAGGCAGGTAAGATGCTTCCAAATATCCTTCTTTGGTAAACCGCCTGCCAAGGAGATCCACCGGTGTGTGCACAGGCGAAAGGTTCCGGAGTGGGAGAGTTGGAGGTCAAAGAGAATGAGAGAAGGCAAGCTGGAGAGGGAAGGAAGCTGTGTTAGAGATCGGCTGAAGGAAATAGGCGGAGCTCCAGAAAAAATGTACAAGAGAGACTACCAGTGAGGTCCAGATCAAGTCAGAAGTGTGGATTTGTAGGTTGCTTGACCTAATTTTGTGATCTGAGAGAGGAAGAATCAAGGGCAAATAACAGAAGTGTAAACAAGAACAAGGGAATACAAGCTAGAGAGAAAGAGGGTGTTCGAGATTGGGTGAAGGAAGTAGCTGCAGCTTTCTTGGAGAAGAAGAACAGAGACGGGACCAGTGAAATTCAAATCAACTGAAAAGTATGGATTTGTGGGCTGCTTGACCCAATCCTGGGACCAATCCTGACCACCTCATGGCTTCTTGGTAGCGCCCAAATGAAGGAAACCACAAACCAGTGACTTTAGTTCAGCCCAGAGTTAAGGATGATTGAGTCTGACTGCTCCTCCTCATGTTTAAGAACCCCATAATCCTGGAGGACAGTGTTAGGAACATGCAGGTTGCAAGGGAAGGAAAGGAGAAATGCAAAGAAGAAATCTTCTTTATCTTCATATATATA